CTGAATAAACCGCATATTTGATTTGATTCGGATTCGGTTTTATTTGACCAAAATTGCCAGTTTCTATTGGTGCTGACTAAAGCCGACCTTGGGACGACGGGGGGATACATATCAAGAGGTCCTTCCGACGGTGTAATTGACGATGAATAGCTGTGTCGCACGTCGCAATATGCTATTTATGTAACATGCTCGGATATGTATACCTGTTCGTTCAATAAAACTATTTCTATTTGGTAGAACTATTTATAAACAATTGAATCCAATTTGCAGATAATTGTGAGTTGGCGCTAATGGCCAATAATTCAAAGCTCACCTTCTTCTTCATCATCATCATCATCATTATTCAGCCTTAAGACGTCCACTGCTGAACATAGGCCTCCCCCAATGATTTCCATAATGACCGGTTGGTAGCGGCCTTCTTATCAAAGCTGAAAACTCATTTAGTAGTCAATGTTAGTAATTAATCATTTCGTTGGTGAACAATATAGCGTCACTGGTTTTGTTGCTATACAACAAAATCATTGAGAGAGGTCATAAAATTACATTTTGTTCCATTTTAACCAAAAAACTTGAGGGAATCTTTTATCCAGTAGTCTAACTTCCCCCAAGAATTTCATATCAACTGGTCCTGCGCTGCCCGCATCCAGGTACTTACCGCGACCTTCACCAGGTCATCGGTCCATCGAGTGGGAGGCCTGCCTACACTAGTTTTCCAGTACATGTTACCTAACTAATTGGTCAATAACTTTTTGTCTCAATGGCCATCAGTTCTACAAGATATGTGCCTCGCCCACTGCCACTTAAGTTTATTAATTCTGCTGGTTATTGTCGGTTGCTTTGATTCTTATACGGATCTCCTCATTTCTGATTCGATCACGTAGAGACTCCGAACATAGCACGCTTCCTTCATTGCCCTTTGAATGATAATCCCCACCCACTTTTGAGTGCCCTTTAGTACCTATCGTTTACCCCTAAATATGCTTCTGTTACAAATGGATTCACCACAATAGTCCAGCGTAGCGGGGTTCGAACCCGCGTTCCTCGGATTTTGATTCGGCCAGTTCGGCATACCGACACCTATTTGAAGTATTGTGGTCTCCTATGGTCGCCTCTGACACGGTAATAATATCATACAGTATTGTAACTTCATATAAACCGACGAAACGCGAGCTTTCCTTCGAATTTCAAATCTCGGGACGTGGTCGAAATCCAAAAGTTAGGGGTGTCGCGAATGTGCCGAACGGACGTCGATGGCCTACCGTTGAAAATGACTAAGGTGATGGAATTTGACTGACCGTCTTAAACGATCAAATTTGTCAAAAACTAGTCATTAACTGTCAGAAATGGTCATTTTCAGTCAGTTTGATTTGAAATGAAAATTATAATGTAAAAAACCAGCTTTGGCCCACGACTTCGCCCCCCTGAAATTAAAGTAACAGGTCATTAAGTACTCATTATGATTAGTAGATTCAAAATTATTTTAGTACCTATATTTTTTTAAATTCAATCTACTAATCACAAAACAACAAGCATTTTTATCCTATTCCATTCACAAAGTATTTTGTTTGTCTAAATAAATAAAAAATTACAATCACAAAACTAGATAGAAATTCTAAGTACTTAGACGTAATTAGAATGGGTACTATAGGTGAGCAGCCCTATCGCATGTTGTCATACCGTGACGTACCGCGGGGCTGTTGACATTTATTTCAAAAATATGGCCGAGTTGGAATACTGTATAGATAGTATTACCGTGCCTCTGAACTGAGGTCTTCATCCTAGTGACAGTGACAGAAAGAACATAGTAACACAAGAACTCCTACGAAAATTTTACCATACTCTAAGTTTAGGATTACCACTACTACCATGCACAATCCCAACTAATATTATAAATGCGAAAGTAACTCTGTCTGTCTGTCTGTCTGTCTGTCTGTCTGTCTGTCTGTCTGTTACGCTTTCCCGCTTAAACCTCGCAACCGATTTTGATGAAATTTGGCATAGAGATAGTTTGAGTCCCGGGAAAGAACATAGGATAGTTTTTATCCCGGTTTTTGAAACAGGGACGCGCGCGATAAAGTTTTTCTGTGACAGACAAAATTCCACGCGGGCGAAGCCGCGGGCGGAAAGCTAGTTAACCCATAATACTGAAGACTGATCCATTAAAATCCTCTGTAATCAAATATAACAGATCCATCATCTACAGGGTGGAAACGATAAGTGATCTCACTCGATTATTTCTAAACTATACAAGATATCGAAAAACTGGTTACTGATCCTGAAAGTGCTTGACGAAATCTTTCAAACGGTACCAATAATCGGTTACAGAATGAACTGGAACTATCCGAAAATTCAATGTTTCTAGCTTTCATACTAAATGTATGCCAACCACACAATATTAGAAGTGTAATTTATTTTTTGTTCATTTTCGGATAGTTCCAGTTTATTCTGAAACCTATTATTGGTACCGTTTGAAAGAGCTCGTGAAGCACTTTCAGGATCAGTAATCAGTTTTTAAATATCTTGTATAGTTTAGAAATAATCGAGTGAGATCACTTATCGTTTCCACCCTGTATAAGCGTCAGTCATAGAGGGATCAATTTTGCTACCAAAACGGTTCAATTGAGCGTGTATTCTCGCTATTCGTTTAATACCATCAAGAGTCACAAATTGCTTTGGTGCCGCCATTTATCTGGACCCACCGACGATACAGGCAAAGAGAGAACAGCCAGTTCATCTCATCAAACAACTTAACCTCGGCAGAAAGTAGGTACTCTTGATATTTTGTAAAAATATGCATTTCCACTGAGTCCTCTTTGTAGGATGATCGTCCTGATTATCGTTACAGTGCCAAGCAGTCTTTTCTAAAAATCCTTTTTTTACAATTTATTTTAAAAGCTAGTCTACACCTTTCGTATACCTAACCAAATTTGTAACTGTATCGCTAATTCGCTACATTGACTCGCTCGATAACATTTGTTTAATGTTATCGAGCGAGTCAATGTGCTTTTTAAAACAAACGGAAGCTCTTTTCCTATGGCCTAATCGTAAGTGATGATCAGGTAAAGAGAAACTGGCTACATTTGCTTGTGCCCTGTCAAAGCTGTTTACGTGACATTGGCGAAATCATGGTTCTCAATACCAAGTCGTTGCCAAAATAAAAGAAGAAAAAGAAGAGAAAGAGCAGCGCAAATAGTTTTGCCAGGTCCAAAACACAAAAGCCGGACTCTTTGCTTTATTTGACCGGACATTCTACTCAAGCTGGACTTTTCCATATCATAGCTCACAAGTACTCATGGCGCTTGATATTATTCTGTAGCTCGACTTTCGCCTGGCGCGGCAGCCTTATTAGGTATTATTGACGCGAGCTACGACGCTTTCTCATTCCACACATCAATCAACACTGGCTGTTTTATTTGACATGTGAAAAAAGTCAAATTGTACTGACCTTGTACGGACGCCGGTACATCAAGCTTAATAGTAGCGTCTTATCTCGTTGCAATAGAGGTTATTTTGCAACAAAAATATTACAATCGCCTATTGTTCATCGTTTCGCAGCCGCCGAAATATAATGGCTGTATTAATATTGATATGGTCGTTGATGGAGGCGAAACAATAAGCATTATGGATAAAAACAACGCCTTTTCCTTAGTTTTTCCTGGAACAATAACTGATAATAAAAGTAAAACAGTTAATAAGCTACAGATAAGAAAAAATACTGTTTGATGCTAATGAAGTCATCAACTTTTATTTGCTGTGTAAATAAAAGGTGATACAGACTTTAATTACAAACAAAGGTCAAAACTAGACTCAATTTCAGTCATAATTTCAAGTTTCAACCCTGTGATCATAGTCTCTACTCTGTGATTGGACTACTAAACATTGAAATTCAGCCAATATAAAGCCTCAATCTGTGCATACAATTGAGTTTAAGTTTTATTCTATGCTATACGGAAGAATAGAATAAAAAACGTTACGTATAGAAGAGAATAGGAGTGTTACAGTTACAGCAGCAAAAAGGTCACCGTCTCAGCTTGTGTCACATGACGCTGATTTTCATTAGGACCGGGGTCGAAAATAGTATAATAAATAAAATAATAATAAATAATAATAAAATCATGTATTTGCAAGAACATGGTTACAGATTGGTGTTAATTTAATTAATTCCAGCATATTCTGTCGCATTCGACGTGCAAAAGTTCTTGTTCTTAAAGTTATGTTAATTATTATTGCTACATTTAGTCTTAGTAATTCCTTCTTCATACAAAACGTTCTTAACTAAAGTATTATATTTATTTCGTTAAGTAATAGAAACAATCCATTTCTCAGTGTATCTCAAACAGTGAAAAATACTGCAGAGCTTTAGTTTTTGAGGGAGGAAGTCTCGTAGCATGTTTCATACATTTCCATTTCCATACATTTGCAAAAAGCCCGCCTACACCGAGTTCAGTTTCCTCTGATAGCGCCAAGGTCATTCTAGTTCATAAGGTCGCGTTTCCACCAAAGCTTTGCTTTAGTCAAGCGATGCTTTAGACAATTTCTAGAAAATATTGATAAAGAAATACTCATTTAAACACAATAACTGGTTATTACATTAAGAGTACTGTATTCTCACTAATAAAAAAATAATTTAGAAATTGCTTTTCAGATAAGTAGATCAAATCTGAAACTTAGAAGGACCAGCTCTATCGCGTGATATTCCCTGTATCTTCTATTGGAGAGTTACACGACGCTATTTAAAATAGAAGTAGTTGTAATATGACTGATTTTTAAAAAAAGTCTAGCGGAGCTGTGCGGAGCGGAGAAAAGAAATGGAAATAATGAAATCTAATTGGTGATTCAAAACACTTCTGTCCTATCCGCTTTGGTGGAAACCGGGCCTTATCCGCAGACGCGCTGTCTAGTCTGCCTGGCGAGGGTCTCGCACCATTTCACACCGAATGCTTCCTCACACCGCATATCCATCGCAGTTGCCCACTAGAGTCACATCCTTACGCACCGTTCCATAATTTTAGGTTATAGAGTCTAGCTTTTATTTTGGGGAGACGCTAACTAATTATTTAGGTCTTTAGTGATAATAATAGACATTTTATACCGTTACAAAGATATTTTTGTCACGCAAACAAATCGATGAGGCCGGCGAACTCGGTTTTTAGATTAGTCCGCCTTGATTCACTGTGGTGTGCTGTGTAGTACAACGTGTATTTTGACGATATTGTCATATTTTTGTGTGTTAAAAAGTTACATAATAAGATTAAACGGTATTTCAAGGTGAGTTTGCTATTTTTAGATTGCGGAGGTTTTCGTTCATGTTTGTTTCGTTTTAAAATATTTTAAAATAGCTAAAAGTACTTTATCTTCTTTCACAAGCAATAAATAATGAGCACTTCACATGTGCACAGTGCCCGGACTATAAAAAATTTGACTGACCAAATAACTTCCCGACTCTAATTTAATTGGTTCTTCCTGATTTAAGATCCATTCCCAACAAGAGCACGTAAATAAATATTGCTGAATCTATCTGAATATCCTATGAAATTAAATTTTCGTTAGACACCAGGCTTTTCTGGAGGTCCGTAATGTAAGTGATGCCCTTCACTAGTATTAGACGGTTGTTCAAATAGTGAATCTCATGGGCAACCATTTATAGTTGAATTTTAGCCAAATTCCATGCATCCCTGAAAGTGCGCTGTACCTACTTTAAGTTGTACCCTCCACTAGTATCAGGTGGCAGTTCAATACTGAACCTCAAGCATAACCACTTAAAGTCAACTTTCCGTTGGCTAGCGTTCATCTCTTCTCACTGGCTTCTCTATTACCAATACCATCAAGATTGTAGTTCAATAGTAAACCTAAAGGGCAACCATTTAAAGTACATTTTGGTTCTAGGCATTCATCTCTCCTCATCGGCTTCTCTATTACCAATACCCTCAAGATAGTTTCAATACTGAACCTTACAGGCAACCATTTAAAGTAGATTTTGGTTCTAGGCATTCATCTCTTCTCATCGACTTCTCTATTACCAATACCCTCAAGATAGTTTCAATACTGAACCTTAAAAGCAACCATTTAAAGTATATTTTGGTTTCCAGGCATCGCTGGAGGTGCGTCAGGTCGGCAGACGGGCTGTTAGCAGCCTGGCAGGCCGGGGGATGGGGGATGAAGTGGTCATCGTCCACTACAACGATGTCTACAACATTGAACAGACCACAAGTAAGTAATCTTTATCTCAGCCACACTAGTCTCTTCAAACTCCTTCTTCTTCTTCCTGTCGTGTCGACAACAAACCTACACAGCGTTAGCCCAAAACTCCGCCACAAGAATGGCGTTGTCAGTAGCCTTCGTTAAATCTTTCTGCGTGCAGTTGTTTGGGCACGCAGGGCACTCCTCCTACATATGTTCATTTCGTTGCGGTTCCAATGACAGTTTAACTTTCCGTCGGGACAAACTTGACCTTCACTGGTTGGGTTTTTATTGGCGATCAAGCTGTAGATCCTGGCTACACAGGAGTTGCAGCGGTGGGAACGAGAGGTGGGAATATTCCCGTTACTCTACACGCTTCGACAAAGTACCGAAGTTAGCCGAGGAGTGTAATCAGACAAAGGGCTCGTTCCCACGGAAATCCAATTTTATTGAATCCAGTTTTGTAGGATCCCGGAAAACTGAACAAATACATAGTTATGTATATTTGAAAAACTAATTAACTTTACTATAATCGCTGGAATAAAGTCTAGAAATATTGTCTCTATGTGCAGATGAATTAAAGTTCGAGAGGATCTGTTTTTTCGGGGACACTGCAAACGAGAAGTTCGTGTGAACGTGATATTAAAACACGTATACTTCTAAACGGGAACCTGCAAAAAGTTCTTTAGTCCTGTCTTTCCCGAACACTACTATCCGGGGCTTTTCAAGACTAGAGTGAATGGGCACTTACTTGGCAGATATTTGCCATCCTAGACTCCATCCCACTTAACACTAGTTGCGATTGTGGTCAAATAACCTACCTAACCTGCCTACCCTAACCTAACCTAACCTGCCCTGTCATGCATGCAACGAGATATCTCCGTGAGAACAAGCCCTAAGACTTCAAACTTCAGAACGCTTCGGGCCCTTTAACTCGGGTCAAAAGGTTCGAAACATTTCGTAGCCCGAAGGATCTATTGGGTATACCTACACTACACCCTTAAGTATTATAAAGGTATATTCTGATCAAGAACTGTTTTTTGCCAGACACGGAGCCAGTGGGAGGTGCCCTAAGGTTCTGCACAGCCGTCAAGGCGCTGCAGCATTTGAACCCTCTGGTACTCTTCAGTGGAGACGCGTTTTCTCCAAGCATGTGTAAGTTGACTTAAAATAGTTTAAAAAACTAACCCTACTACGGACGGAATAGCCACTATTGTTCAAGTCGGTTTAAATGTTGCCTATGTTACTCAGGCCATTATAACGAAACGATGACACCTTATTAAAAGTTAAGTTAATAATCCAATCTCATTCCAATCCCCTACCCGTCAACAACTATTTAGCTAAGATGTTTAATTAATACATTAATATTATATGTATTTAGTCTACTATTATTTTATTTCCAGTAAGCACATTCACAAAAGGGGAACAGATGGTTCCAGTGTTGAACGAAATTGGGACGCACTGCGCAGTATTTGGGAACCATGATTTCGGTAAGTCAAAAATACTTGCAATAAATATGTGAATAAATACTCTAGTAGATAAGTGTTTCTTTAAAAATAAAAAGACCCTGAAATCAATAAAAAAACTAAACTAAAAAAAATGTATTAATTCCTAACACCGAAACATAGTCGCAATGATAAAAAAATACAAGTACCTAAATAAACAATCTGTAAAATAAATTCAATTTATTTTTATGGCCGATCAAAATTATGCCCCTAAGCATTTATTGTATGTATCGTTCTTCATTACTATTTGAAGTTACTGTAAAGGCCTTGCACAATCTTTTAGATTCATTCTGAGTTTAAAAAAAATCTATTTTCAGATTTCGGCCTGGAAGTCCTCTCAGGATTAGTGGCACAGTGCAGTTTCCCATGGTTGATGTCAAATGTCATAGACAACGAGACCGGACGGCCGCTCGGCGACGGAAAAATTACCCATGCATTGATGTGCAATGGACACAAGATCGGGCTCATAGGGCTCGTGGAACAGGTAAGGAGTAGGCGATTTTCAACCTTGAAAGCATTAAGTCTAAGTTCAGTTTCCCGTGGCTGATATCAAACGTCATAGACAACGAAACCGGACGCCCGCTCGGCGACGGAAAAATTACCCATGCATTGATGTGCAATAGACACAAGATTGGGCTCATAGGGCTGGTGGAACTGGTGAGAAGTTAAGAGTTTTGACCCTAAAAGCAATGGTATAAGTTTAGTTTCCCGTGGCTGATATCAAACGTCATANGCGTGTATACTGCAGATTAGATAAAATATAAATGAAAAATGGGCTTAAACTTGACAAAATGTATTTATTAACTTTTAGCAACTCGTAACCAAATACAGAACAACCGCCATGACAGTTGGAGAGAGAAGACGATATCTCTGTCTCACTCGCACCTAGACCATATTACATTGCACATTATTAACTTTTCATAACACCCCCTCTCAATGTAATAATCTGGATACTTAATTACTATTAACTTAAACTAAATTATCTACTGAGANAGAGTGAGAAGACGATATCTCTGTCTCACTCGCACCTAGACCATATTACATTGCACATTATTAACTTTTCATAACACCCCCTCTCAATGTAATAATCTGGATACTTAATTACTATTAACTTAAACTAAATTATCTACTGAGAAATAAACTTTGCAATGCAACTACTAAAACAATAGGTACTCTTATAACATTATATGCAGTTGAGTTACTTTAAACCACACATATTTACAAATTTTAACAATGTATTATTTTTCAAAGGTTTGGTCAACATATCNTTAGAGTGAGAAGACGATATCTCTGTCTCACTCGCACCTAGACCATATTACATTGCACATTATTAACTTTTCATAACACCCCCTCTCAATGTAATAATCTGGATACTTAATTACTATTAACTTAAACTAAATTATCTACTGAGGAATGAACTTTGCAATGCAACTACTAAAACAATAGGTACTCTAATAACATTCTATGCAGTTGAGTTACTTTAAACCACACATATTTACAAATTTTAACAATGTATTATTTTTCAAAGGTTTGGTCAACATATCAGCAATTTGCTCCTCAGTTTTCACATATTTAAGACATACTTTTTGTTTCTCAATAAGTTCCCTAATAAAGTGATACTTAATATCTATGTGTTTTAATCTCTTAACAGTGTTGGTATTAGCAATAACCATGGCAGACTGATTGTCACAGAATAAGATAGCTGGAGTTACATTTTTTATATTAAAATCGCACAACATATTGCTTAGCCAACATGCCTCAGCTCCTGCCATACTCATTGCTACATATTCGGCCTCGGTGGAAGAAATACTAACTGTGCTTTGCTTCTTTGAGCACCAAGAGATCAGGCAGTTTGCATACTTAAAACAGTAACCTGTGGTAGATTTCCTATCTGTTAGGTCTCCTCCCCAATCAGCATCACAAAATCCCACCAACTCCTCATCATTACAATTATAAATCAATTTATAGTCTAATGTGTGTTTGATGTATCGCAGAACTCTTTTCAAAGCTACTAATAACATGTTACTAGCTCTATCTTGATATCTACTTAAGATTGATATTGCAGCACAAATGTCTGGTCTGGTACCACAAGCTGCATACATCAAACATCCAATTATTTGTCTACATAAATTTTCAGTTTCAGTTGAACACTTATTATTCTCAAATTCCTTTACATTAAAATTCTGGTCCATAGGTGTGCTAATTTGTTTACATTCATACATATTGAATCTTTTAAGAACATTTTCCAAATAATTTCTTTGACATAATACTGTAACACGAGTTTCTAAATTTTGCTTTACATTAATTCCTAAAAAATCAGAGACCAGACCCAAATCTTTCATTTTAAATTCCTTTTTTAATACTGACTTTAAATGTGACACAGAATCTTCATTACTACCAAAAATCAATAAGTCGTCAACATATATAAGTACATAAATCTTTTCAGTTTTATTACATTTAGAATACAAACAAGGATCACATTCAGATCTTTTAAAATCTTCTCTAATTAGCACAGAGTTGAACTTATCATTCCAGTACTTTGGTGACTTCTTTAAGCCATACAATGCTTTATTTAGCTTTACAATACAATTGGAATTTTCATAGGCTCCATCAGGTAATTTAATGTATACACTTTCATTTATTTCCCCATATAGAAATGCTCCCGTAACGTCCATTTGATATACAGGTAAGTTGAATTTTGTTGCAATAGCTATAAACAGTCTAAAAGTAGCCAACTTAGCCACGGGGGCATATATTTCACTATAACTCAATACATTTTCCTGCTCAAAACCTCGTGCTACCAACCTAGCTTTATATTGAATATCATTGTTGTTTTGTTTTATTTTAAATACCCACTTAGTACTAATTGCTTTCTGATTACCTGGTAGATCACTCACTGTCCATGTATTATTTTCTTTTAATGTTTGTAGTTCCCTCTGGATCGCTTTCTTCCACTCAGATGCCTCTGGACTTCTCATAGCCTCCTCATACGATTTAGGCTCACAATCTTCTACCAAAACATTATTACAATTAAAGAATTGAGTCTGCTTTCTGACACGCTTGTTTTCATGGTTTATGGGTGGATTTTCATAATTTTCGCCTTCACTACTATCACTTGGTTCATATAAGCTGCCCTCTGAATCACTCTGTAAGGTATTCATTGTGTTATCATCTTCTTCAACAAGTTGCGCTCGATCTTCAGCATCCTCCTTCCCTGCATCATCCGGATTGAACTCCTCCACTTTGTTGTATACATATGGCACTGTTGTCGACTCTGGTTCTTGTTCTTTATTTTCTTTCACAAAAACAATATCTCTTTTTGTTTCTACAGTATTCAAGTGTGGGAAAAATACTCTGTATCCTTTAGTTGTCTCTCCATAACCAACTAAAATACCCTTTTCACCTTTAGGGTCCCACTTACGCCTCTTTTCTTTCGGTATATGGACATACACTGGAGTACCAAACACTTTAAGGTTGTTGATATCAAATGTTTTGTTTGACCATAACTCATATGGAGTTTTTCCATCAACTGAGCTTTTTCCAGTTCTGTTAATTACATATGCTGCTGTATTTATCGCCTCTGCCCATAGTTTGGTAGGTAAATTTTTTGCAAATAACATTGATCGGGCCGCTTCTACTAAAATTCGATTTTCTCGTTCAGCTCGACCATTTTGTTCTGGAGTAAAAGTCACTGATGTTTGATGTACTATTCCTCTTGCCTGAAACATTTCTCGTACCTCGTTATTTACGAACTCAGTTCCGTTATCAGTACGAAAAATCTTAATTCGGTTTCCAGTCTCATTTTCAGCTCGAGCAATAAAATTTCTAATACACAGTTTAATTTCATGTTTTCCTTTAACAAAACACACTTCCCTGTATTTTGAAAAATCGTCCTTGAACACGACGAAATACCTCGAACCCCCAATAGAACTCTCTTCCATCGGTCCGCATGTATCTGCATGAATTATTTCACATGTCCTGGAGCTAACATTTTCACTTCTAGGGTAAGGCAGACGGTGAATTTTACCCTTCATGCAACTTTCGCATGTCGCCGAGTCGGACAATTGAGTACAAATATCAACTTTATTGTTCTTCAACACTTCTTTCACATAAGTCATGTTTTGATGCGCCATTTTTTCATGCCATTCGTGCAAAACTGAACGCTTTATTTCCGCAACGTTGGCTTCGGACGTATTATGGTAACGAAAGTTCAAATAATACATGCTCCCATTACGCTCAGCAACTGCCATCACCATATTTTCTCTATAAAACTTGCATTCATTTTCACTTGTCACAATAACATAACCTTTACTTGTTGCGCGGTTCACAGAGAACAAATTGGTTGACAGTTCGGGAACATGTAGTACGTTGTCTATGGTAGTGTTGATCCATTCGTTTCCGTTCCATACTTGTACTGCCACCTGTCCGCTGCCCTTGACACTAATTTGCGTTCCGTTTCCCACAGTTACATATTTGCCTTCTACGGAACAATATGAATTGAATAGTTCGTAATCACAACACATATGTTCGCTTGCACCCGAGTCCACCAGCCATTTTGTTTTATTAAAATATGCACTAGATTCACTAATTTTGTCCATGACCACGAATGCATTACCTTTTTTGTCCTTTCTAAAACGGCACTGACTTTTTATATGTCCTGGCTTATTACAGTAATAACACCTCACTTCCAAATGATGATCCTTGGAATTACGAAAGTCATCAGTCTTATTAAATCGGCACTCACTTATATAATGTCCTAGTTTATTACATTTAAAACACTTGACAGTTTTTCTGTTTGTTTTTTTAGCCACAAACGCTGCCGATGATTGCGAGCTTCCGCCTTTTTCTTTAATTCTCTCTTCTTCTATTAACAACCTGGCGACTAGGTTATCATAGGTTTGCTTATCGTCTGGAGCGGATTCCCAAGCCGAGACAAAATGTTTATAATCTTCCGGTAACGACATCAAAATCTTAGTTATAACAAACTTCTCAGATATTGCTTCGCCGAGCTGTTTCAGGTGGTTTTGTATCTCCTGTATCTTCGATAAAAATACGGACATATCTGAATTTTCATCGTATTTGAATTGGAAGAAACGTTGTTGTATTATGTGGATGCTTGTTTCGGATTTCTGTTCATAGACACTCAGTAATTTCTGCCACATACTAGCTGAGGTCTCACACGAAATGATATGTAGCATGACTTCTTCCGACATTCTTGTGACCAACAACATTTGAGCTTTCGCATCCTGAGCCTCCCAACGACTTCGTTGTACTTCATCCTCAGGTTTAACTGAAGTTCCATCCNTATATGTTACAGGAAATGTATGAATTCTAGGAATTGTATACTATTCCTAGGAAATGTATACAATTCCGAAGCTATTTAGGAAATGTATAAAATATTGCTTCAGAGATTTTTTAATACGCACATATCCTAGGACATGTATACTTTTCCTAGGAATTTTATAGAATTCCAATATTGTATTAGGAAATGTATAAGGGTACTTCTTCGGAGGCTAAATTTTCCATGTCTTTGGGTATAGCTATGTAACCAACTAACAAAATGGCATGCAATATTTTTTTTAGAATAGCTTAGCTTTGTCCCTATATGGCGCAAATTGCATTTTTGAAATAATTGCTATCTTTGTACTAAATAAAAATATTTGAAGTGTGATTCTCTGATTCATATGGTGTGTCCGTTGGCCATTTTCCGGAACAAAATGGTTGATGTCGCTTTTCCCTTTTGATATATCAATATAAATAAAAATTATTTCGAAAGGCAATGAGTTGTCCTTTTACAAAAAAAATATGTATTAGTTATAACTTCGTTAGTATGTTCATAAATAATTAGATAAGAAGTGTCCGGCGTAAAATGCTGATTGATATGGCGCGAGCTTCTCTTGACCGTACCTAGTTAGGTATTAACAATGAGAGTCTGGCTTCCCGCGCGGGGGGAAGCCAGTGGTGTAACGAACGAGCTAGGAAGCGGACGTGCGGCTGGTGGCTAAGATCGTGGAGTTACGAAGGTAAATATCTGATTCATCTGTGCTTGGTTCAGGTGTCATGCTGATTACAATGCCCAGTTTATAAAATTTATTTTAATGATTTAAAACTTCTATCTGAGTTTAGCGTGATGCTTTTAGGTTTTAGATTCGCCTAGAAAAATATTAATACTGAAGTCGATATGTATGATGAGTTATGGATGATTGTAGGCAAATTCCTGATTCATCTGTGCCTGATTAATATGGACAAACGGTCCATATAAATCAGTTTTTCCCCTTCTTAAGCATTAAACGAGTGTTTTTTTTTACTTAAAAATGTATTATTTTAATGAACTATTATTACAATACATGAATAGATTTTAATTATTGCTAATTTGATATTAATAAGTATATTATGCGATCATACATACAATTAATAATTTAAGAATAGACATTTTATTTAATTGAGGGTACTAATAAACTTAATCATTGTGCAGTGCATAGTTTTATATAAAACTAGCTTTCCGCCCGCGGCTTCACGCGCGTGAACTACATTATCTACATATTTTACAAAACCTTATTTTTTTCCAAAATAAAATTTAGCCTATGTTACTCGTGGATAATGTAGCTTTCGAATGGTGAAAGATTTTTTAAAAACGGTCCAGTAGTTTTTGAGCCTATTCATTACAACCAAACAAACAAACAAAGT